AATATTTTCAAGCCATCAAACATCTCAGTCGATCTCTCGCATGTCAGCAGCATCATTTTGAATCGCATGACCTGTGACGAGACGGGGATTCCCTCCCTAAAATAGAAACGTGAGCTCTATGTAATTCATGTATGTGTACGCCATGTATCTGGGGAAACCTAATGGGTGCCACTAAAATGGAATGGATTTTTCGATTTCGCTATTAGAAATTATGCACTGAACTAGTACAAGAGTCCTCTATTACGTGTAAAATTGTTTTGAATTGAAAGTGTATCAATTTATTAACGTTTTTGATCAGTAAAAACAGTGTTTAAATTAGAGATTTATAGAAAACTTGATTACCACATTTAAGCGGGACAATTGTTTCGGAATACGCACATGGTCATGTAGTTCCTAATTTACTACAGCTATGTTCATTGGTCATTTAAAATTGCCAAAATACAGAGAGACTAAGTATCTTTGGCTGAAAGTTATTTTGAATATTCCAAGTGTATATGTTGTGAGAAATTTCACCTGTGAAAACTCAGCCTAATTATAAGGTTAGAGGCGTTTGTGCCTCCAAACAATAATATGGTTCGGGAAATTGTAATGATGTGGGGAAATGAACCCATGCTTTGCTACGGCAAACAAACCTTTAACAACGAGACTACCTCATCACCCTGTAGAGAATGATTCAGGTTTCCACCATCTACAGCAAAATGCATTAAAAACTTTGGCAGTCATTCAGTTGTAAATTGATATTCCTTGTAACATTTGGGTTGTGTGGTCACCAGTGGTTAAAGGAATATCAATAATCAAACATGATATTGCGGGAATGTTGATAATAGCAGAGTAAAATCCTACTCTTCTCTCATAATATTTAAGGTGGCACATGTCCTTCGTTCGTTTTCCAATGGGGGTATGAAGCCAATTCCTGTTGTTTCCTGTCATGATATTGCTGGAGTACTGCTAAATTGAAAAATTCACTCACTCACTCACTCATGCACGCACGCACGCACGCACCCACCCACTCACCCACTCACTCACTCAGTTGGCCCAGGAACAAATGGGCTTTTGAAGAGCCCAAATCCAGCTTGCTATCGCTGCCAACTGACCAAGCCCACTCTTTATACCCAAGTAGCAGAGTTTTGATTGTGCATCTGCGTCAACACATGCACAGCATCCCACAGCTTCAAAACAGACGCCCTGTGTCTGGAAGCACTTCACTGCATCAGAAGTAAACAAATGGTGTTAAAGTAAACAAAGAGTAAATACTTATAGAAGATGACCGTAGAGTACTGGATGTAGCAGAGATGACCTGCTTCCGTTGTGTATGGCTGTGAACGCATTGCCAGGCGATAAATTTGGAACATTTAAATGAAATCTGGTTCTATGAAACAAACATCTATTTCAAGGTCACTGATGTTCCATGTAGTTTAAAGTGAGGATATGAAATGCAGGTCATTAATCCTCTTAATTCTGTTGTCGAACTGATTCTGGTGTTTTGGGATGATAATGTTCATTAATATAGCTAGTATTAATGTGCAAAATATTTGTTCAGTTGTCCACTTATTTCATGACACGCTAAATGTTTGAAATCATCCCACACCAAACAACCCACAACCCTCTTTACAACGCCTTATGCTGAAATTAATTCAGGAGGCAAAAGGTTAAGGACTTTGGATAGATAGACACAATGTTTAGTATATGGGAAGATTTGTCTCAATTCTTAATATTACACAGATAACATGACGATAAGAGAAAGTGTATGTGATAATCCTCTATATTTGCATTCAGTATCAGTTGATCACTGGATTGTCTGGTCCAGACTCGATTATTTACAAACTGCCGCCATATAGATGAAATATTGCTGTTTGTGGCAGCTAAACTCACTCACTCACTCACTCACTCACTCACTCACTCACTCACTCACTCACTCACTCACTCACTCACACTCACTCACTCACTCACTCACTCACTCACTCACTCACTCACTCACTCACTCACTCATTATTCATACCCAGGTCTCATTCACCACCAAAGCATGGTATCTCATTTGACCAACTTAACAAAATTCTCTTGCTTGTGCTTGAAATCAACAATAACACTCTGAAAATAACATAAATCTTAAGCTTCACCTTGTTTAACAAAATCTGAAGACTCGGGGCACTGTTCCACAAAGTGATAGTGCTATGACTGTCAAAAGTTTGTGTTCTGGAATAGGAATAGACAAACACATAGTCTCTGAAAATGTGTAATTTTGATAATAACAAATGAATCCATTTAAATTGAACGGGAGCCGCAATGAGATCTCAGATTTCATTTTGAGCTTTCAAAATTACAGAAAGGGTTGGGCAGAAAGGACAATATACCAGTGATGATTCAGGAAATAAGACGGACTAGAGTAGGAGTGATGATCGTCTTGGTGCTATGATCATCTCAACTTTTAGGCTGCAAGACTGTTTTCTGAATTTGAAAAATATAGCACAAGCAGTATCCTGCCCTTTTTCACATTTTCAAGAGGAAAAAAGCATAATTGAGCCAAGTGCTGGTGATATCACTGGCTGTTGTATCATTAAAAAGGGATAATTTGATTGCATGGCCTTCCTAGTGTCATGTTAGAACTGTGAAGATCGGGGTTCGAATTGGTCTTCAGCAACTCATGCTTGTCGAAATAGGCGACTAATGTGATAGGGTGGTCAGACTCGCTGACTTGGATGACACATGTCATCGTATCCCAGTTGCGTAGACCGATGCATATGCTGTTGATCACTGGATTGTCTGGTCCTCAATTATTTACAGACCGCCGCCATGTAGCCGTAATATTGCTGGGTGCGGCATTAAACAACAAACCAATCAACCGATCTCATGTCATGTCATTTCAATCAGATTAGGAAGAAATCTGTTACTTCAGGATATTTAGAATGGAGATACATGTATGAGTGAGTGAGTGAGTGAGTTTAGTTTTATGCCGCATTCAGCAATGTTCCAGCCATATGGCGGCGGTCTGTAAATAATCGAGTCTGGACCAGACAATCCAGCGATCAACAGCATGAGCATCGATCTGAGCAATTGGGAACCGATGACATGTGTCAACCAAGGTGGCAGCGAGCCTGACCACCCGATCCCGTTAGTCGCCTCTTACGACAAGCATGGGTTACTGAAGGTTCCTTCTAACCCGGACCTTCACGGGTCGATACATGTATGATCCACAATGATATGTTTATGTTGTATATTTTATCGTGTTATATTTATATTGCTTAAAGATTGTGTTATTAATTTAAATTTGTGTACTTTGGAAAAATTCAATATCTTGTAGCTGTGGTACAAGTCCTGTTGAGAATGAATGAGTTGTCAGGTGGGTGAACTAATGCCCAAAGAAGGAACTGCCTAACTCATGGTTTTATCTTCTTCAATATATGTGATCTACAAAAGCTATCCATGATCTGGAACATTTTGTGCTGAAAATTGCATGACATAGCATGTGTTATAGCCCAAAAAATCCCTGTTCATGTGACATAATTTACATGGCATTTCCTTTTAGCTAGAAGTATGTGTACATAAATTGGCCTCATTTGCTTGTGAAACATAAATAAGCATAACAGACAGAAATGGTTTGGAACACATATTTCACATTTAAAAACTGAAAGTTTAATGTAGGGTGTGCCTCTTTGTTTCACAGACAGGGTTACGCAAAGCTGAAATCTGAAACAAGCTTTAATTGAAAAAATTCCTTGTCTAAAAAAAGGTTTGTTTTAATTCTGCTTTAAAAAATGTCCTTTTAGAAAATGAAACTCATATGAACTGTGACATTTTTGTACTCTGAAAAAGAAGGAAAACTTGATCAGCCCAAGTAAGAATGTTCTGGTGCTGAGGAAAATCCAAAGGCTCATGTATTTATACAATGATTGAAGTGAAAACTGAACTACTAGTTGAATGAAGTAAATTTACATGTTTATCATCCAAAATTCACTTCCACTGGAGATATTTTGCTACCGCATTACTGATGCTTACTAGACCATTGTGATGTCATTGGTTACTTGATGACATCACAATAAAATGACCTCACAAATAGCTGGGGATAAGGCTTGGAGGTTAAAACATTTTTTGATTGGTGTTGATATATTTGTTATCAAAAGACACACAAGTGAGATTGTATATATCCGAATTGCATAAGTAGTAGGGGTGAAACGGTACACCACGGTATTAGTAGAACCACGGTTTTTGCCTTCGATGTGGTATACCGTAATGCAATCAAAAATTTTGTTTTTTTCGGTTTTTGTACCATCATTTCTATCTAGTCATAAAATGACAGTTTTGTTCATTCAAAATAACAAAGATTATGGTTATTTTTTTCCATGTTATTAAAAATTGTAAGGTTTGGTTCATGTCAATTTTCTGCATTATGATCATGTCTCATATAACAAACCAAAGGCCTTATACCGCAGTACCGTACCATCGTACCGTGGTAAGAGCTTACCGTTTCACCCCTAATAAGTAGATGCTCATTAATGCTCAGTAATGGTCTGTTTAGCCTTAATTATTTATTGATTAGTTATTCATTACAACCTGTCATTATATTGCTGGAATATTGCTGAAAGCACCCTACTATAAAACCAAAGAAAGGAGCATTACGATATACCAAAAGACCGTTCAAATATGGTACTTGTTGGTCCCTGCCTGACGCTCATCATTAATGGGTACAAGGACTGGTCAGCTTGGAGTCAGTATAAAGTGTCGGAGTTGGGTATTTATGCTTAACTGCGGCATGGTATCTCAGTGGCTAGCACTGTAAAACCGGGCTAGTACAAGCAGCCACACATACACACGCATGCACGTCATCATATGACCGAAATATTCTTAAGTACGATGTTAAACCCCATTTCACTTTACATCCTACAATAAATCAGTAAGTATTAGTTATAACTAAATAAGTGTCCATCTTGGCATTCAGTGCCAACTTTCCATACACAGAACCATTTTCAAAATTTATTCTTTAAATTATCTCCTCATATTTTCAGATATTGGTCCTTATCTGGTGACCTCTGACCCTAAAGAATTCCAGCGTGAGTTGCGATCATTGTACGTGCAGGGAGGTGGTGACTGTCCGGAGATGAGCATCGGCGCCATCCAGCTGGCCCTGGAAAAGTCTCTGCCCAACTCCTTCATCTACGTCTTCACCGACGCCCGCTCCAAGGATTACTACCTCACCGACCAAGTGCTGGAGATCATTCAGCAGAAACAAAGTCAGGTAGGCTTTGGCTCCATAGTCATTAAGGACAGGTGTGCATTGTGCAGGGATTAAGGCGTGTTGTTCAAAAACAGGAATATAATTTTTCACCGATTCTGTTAAGGTGTATAGTTAAAAAACAGGTGAATATGGTCTTCACTGTCAGTATAAGGGTGTTCTGTTCAGAAACAAGCGAACATGGTCTTCACCGACAGTATTAAGGTGTATAGTTAAAAAACAGGTGAATATGGTCTTCACCGACTGTGTTAATGTTTATTGTACAGAAACAAGCTAACATGGTCTTCACCAACAGTATTAAGGTGTATAGTTAAAAAACAGGTGAAAATGGTCTTCACCGACTGTATTAAGGTGTATAGTTAAAAAACAGGTGAACATGGTCTTCACTGTCAGTATTAATGTGTTTTGTTCAGAAACCTGTGAATGTGGTCTTCACCAACAGTAAAAAGGTGTTTTGTTTTGAGAAGCAGATTGCCAGTAGAGAATGTTGTGGTCAGCCAAGGCAAGATACACCATTGCATCGGTGTCATATGACTGCCTACAGCAAACAATTGAGCTAGGGTATGCTCAGACAAGGTGGTCAATATAAATGGATTCAAGGTCAAGGGGAAAGTTGACTTTGAGATAGGACAAGTATTAAGACTACAATGTTTTGTTAAAATTCCCAAGTTTATGTAGTGTAATCATATCAGTCCTTCTTTTTAACTATTTTACAAAATGTTTCACCATTAAGACATCTGTATGCAAAGAAGCCAAAAATATAGTGGAAAATTGATTTGAGTGCAACAAACTCTATTCTTTGAGTAATGACTATGACATGGAGGTTGAACAGATCCCAAGTGGAGGTGAGTTCATGGTTGGAGGTTATATGCTCCTACAAGGATGATGAATGCCTAACAGTGCGAACACCCATGTCACCGTTGAATACTTTGCCATTAAATTCTCATCAACCTCTTGGAACAGCAACAGCGGTAATACGCCCTGAAGGAGCTATACTTAAAGTGTGGCTCTCGCATGCATTCATCGTTAACAGCTCCCTTTCCGCCAGTACACATCTTGCTATGTTAATTTTTGCAACCTAATTTTTGTTCATGGCTTCATTGTGACACCTGCTGAACATTGTGCATTAAGGCTGGTCTTGGGCAAATGCAAGTGTCAACAACACTCAAGAAACATTAAATAAAGCTATGGTGATATTGTTTCATGCCTTTTCAATGCTCATGCTCACTCCCACTCACTCACTCACTCACTCACTCACTCACTCACTCACTCACTCACTCACTCACTCACTCACTCACTCACTCACTCACTCACTCACTCACTCACTCACTCACTGAGACCTAGAACGTGTTCACATGAAAATTACAAGAAAAGACATTTGAAACAAAGCTGCAAAAACTTCGCATCTCTGCCTAAAGGACCTCCCATGATAATGAAATCACAAGCACCAAGTCAAGGATTTATGGTGTATGTGTATGTACGCAGTGAGTGACGTGGAGGAATGGCATGTATGTTGTCAGTGTTGTTCTAGATGTAGAACATGAGATTGTTTGTACTCTGACAGTAACAGAACACAGAAACATGGGAGAATGTTTCAGTCCCTCCATTCAGAGCTGTATCATGGTGACTGGAGGCAAGTACAGGATGGGGGTGCTTCTCATTTACCAGTGTTAGAAACCACCTGTGATATCAAGTCTTTTCAGATGTTTCTTTTAACAGGGTATTAAACTCCCCAAAATTTCAGCCAGACCACAGGGCAGGTTAGATGTAGAACTTGCCAGCCCTGACCAAAACTTACTTGCCCTCAAATAATTTAGGTTTGACAAGCGACGTAGTTTATCATCCAATTGGAATTCATCATTTATTTTTACGTGTGAAATGATAATGATTTATTGTCCTGAAATATGATGAATATTTTCATATACATGTCTAAACTTTAACCTGACCGTCAGGCAGGTGAATTTGAGAATCTGGCAGTCTGTGTTGAAAAGACTGACTGACTGAGTTTGGTTTTACGCCGCTTTTAGCAATATTCCAGCAACATCACGGCGGGGGACACATGAAATGGGCTTCACACATTGTGCCCATGTGGGGATTCGAACCCGGGTCTATGGCGTGACGAGCCAACGCTTTAACCACTAGGCTACCCCACCGCCCCGTGTTGAAAAGAACCCGTCCCGGGTGGTCTGGCAGGCAGGTATTTCGAATGCTGCTTTTAATCATAATAACTCAAGTTTGGTTTGTACGGTAAACCATATCAGATAATATGCACTGAACAATCCTTGGATGTCAAAGAAAACTAAGTACACATGTCTCTAACACACATAATAGGATTCATACAGCTAATGAAGACCTTTAAATCTTATTGTTAAACAAAAATCAGTGTTGTCAAAGTTTATCAAATTGATAAAGCAGTTGAATATCTGCTGACACAAGACACAATGAAAAGTTAAGTCATATTAAGACTGGCCCATATTAGCTTTGATCTGTTCATATATTTTAAGATTTTATTATTTTTATTTACCAAAATTTATGTAATAAGGCTGATAATTTCTTGTGTGCTTGTCTGTTTGTCCTCAGTTCCATCTTCAGGGCAGTACATGTTATAGTTCAGCTTCTTTAAAAGATGACTTTCAGTTTCATAAGTCTTGTATCCACTTCTAAATATATAAAGTGTTTTATATTTTTTTAATTTATATATTGAATATAGGCAGCCAATATCAGATCACCTGCTCAAAGGTGCTTTGTTTTCCCCTCGATCATTGGAGGTCAGTCTCAAAGGGCACAATGCATTATCAATCTCAACTCCCTGGGGATCATACAACTCTTTTAGGCACTGAGTTAATGTGGCTTTCCCATCCTTACGAGGTTTATTCACAGCTGGGTGGATTGGGACACATTGTCACAGTTTTTTTTTTGTCAAAGTTTACTGCACGCGTACAACCAGCGGAGGTGTTTGCACAACAATTCATGTGGCCACCATGGTCATATACCAAAGGAATCGTATGGTACTTTTAAGTGCACAGGGTTGTGAGACTGTACACTAGGGTTGTGACAACACCTGAGAGTCTGATGCAAAGTTGACTCAAGGTTTTTATACTTCACAGGTTGGTTACATCCCATTATAGTTCTGATCACTTTCAGTTTCATAATCTCGCCCACCACTACTTAATATTATATATGTTGACACAAAAAGAAATTGGTATGTCATATGATATCACTATACTATACCGGGCTGTTCTACCAGCAAGTGGTCCCCACTTGTAAGAATTAGCAAAAAGTGAAAACAAAATAATGATCGTGTTCTAAACAGCTCTTTTTATTTGGGTGTCCAAAATTATGAGACGAATTATCAGAGTTGGTCTGTCAATTTCATGTGACTGCAAAATTTGGTTTTGTTGCATTTATTAGATTGTTTGTTAGTGAGTAATTCATTGGTCTCAAGTGAAATCAAATGCACTGTACATGAAAAATGACTAGGTGAACAATGTACCATTGAGTTAAGGAAACTACGACCATAAAGACAGACACTTAAAGACACTTTAAGCAGCCTCTTCATTTGTGCTAAAAATGCACCGTTTCAGGTCCACTTTTGAAAAAAACGCCCCAAACCCCTTAAAATAGCTTTGTACTTGCACAAGTGTCCAAGAGGAACCTGTTCTTTTGTACACCAATGGGAACACTAGCCCACGATGATGTTCACTGACTCAACAACTAATTTCAAATTTGAAAACAAGAAATTCTTCTCTATTTTATCAGTTATAATAAGTTTACGGTAAAATTGCGACCAGTGTGTAGTGAGGCTGATTGGGACAGTGGACAGTGTGTCGGCTCATTGTGCCCAACAGGCATCAGTTGTCAACACACTGGGCAAGAAGTTTGATTTCTCTTTGCAGACTTGACACATTAATTGTTTGGACTATTTGTAATACCCAACATTACCCAGCATTACCCAGCATTACCCAACTTACCCACCATTACCCACCATTACCCACCATTACCCACCATTACCCAACATTACCCAGCATTACCCAACATTACCCAACATTACCCAGCATTACCCAGCATTACCCAGCATTACCCAACATTACCCAACATTACCCAGCACTACCCAGCACTACCCAACATTACCCAACATTACCCAGCATTACCCAGCATTACCCAACAAACCTGTTGCTGACTTGTTATCATTTCAAGAGATTCCAGTCAAGCACAGATGCAAATTTAAAGTAAACATTTTTTTTCCATTTTAAGATAAGCCCTGCCTTATCTAAAGTAAATCATTTGAAAAAGCCAAGCATTGACAAATCTATTTTTCTCACAATGAAATAAATGGCTGTTCCGCTATGTGTAATTAACAGGTTGGCGTTTGTGAGTAGAACGCAACTACAAGGACATGAGAACTCAAACTGCCTGTCTCTCAGTGTCAGACAACCATGATCTGGCAGAACAGCTTCCGTGGCTTGTTGGCGTTCCATCTGCTGCTTGTAATTAGTTGTGTAAATAGTAGTATGGGAACTCACGACAGAAAAAGTTTTGTTTGTGACTAACAATATCGTTTGTAGCTGGTGGTTCCATTTTCACGACAGGAGGTATTTGATTTAGGAGTTGACTTTGCTGGAGAGCTCAAGAAATGTTGTCTGTTTTTAAAGAGGGGTAATTATCTCCCTTTGTTTGTGTTTACAGCTTCAGGTTGGGTGCATGTTCTTTCTTCATACTCTTAAACTGTTACTGTGATCTGTTGTTTATTTTCCTAGCTAGTCTTTTTTCGGAATCGAGAAACTGCTGTTCAAGTTTTTATTGAATGCTCAAAATGCATTTCAGTTGCAGCTTAGAGATTGCTTGCTGCTTGAATGCTCTGAAAATGCATTTCAGTTGCAGCTTAGAGATGCTATACCACAATCTCATGATTGTGATTTGAATCAAAGAGGCCTTGATCTGAGGTTTGAGTGATTCTTCGCTGACTGAGTTTTGGTTTTGACTTTTAGCAATATTCCACAATC